ACCCTGAGAGCCAACAGCCTCTATCGGAGTGTCGAATAAGCAGACAAAAGAAAGTCATGCAGCTAATTTTAATAGGCAGTAAGTGATCCAGAGATAGTGTGGTAAACTTACGTCTTCTTGTGGATGCGGATCATCGGAATCCCAAACTCTCAACATTCGTACATGCAAGGTTCTTCTTTTCCTGGTCAAACCAAAAAGCATAATCAAACAACGAACGTTTTATATGCACAAACGATTTTCTATAAGTAGGAGCAATGTTCCCTAACAGCTATGGGGAGGAGAATGGATAGCAGTCTAAAAGCAGCCTAAAACACTTAATTTCCTTGCCGTAAAAGTCTATAATTCTTATCGAGTTGGTTAATCTTAACAAAGACTAGTGAATACTCAGTGGTAAAACCATAGTAGAACACGAACACGGGTTTAATATTGACTTGAACGAGGGAATTGCGAAAACACAAATCGACTTAATAATTCTTCAGTGAAAGTTTTAATCTGAATTTTTAGTGGCGCGTCGATCGATCACCCCGAAGATAAAAAAGAAATAAAATGGGAACTTACGATAAATAAACACTGATTGTGCTTAAAACAGCATTCAGTGCAGAAGCATCATGATCTGCCAATAAATGTGCACTCTGAGAAAGGGAATGAGATTATTAAAGAAACCCTTACGTAGGGGAGCGCATAGAGAACGACGTAAGAGTACCAGTCAGTTCGGGCTTGAGAACTGGCACAAACATCAAGTGTGACTTCTGCAAAGTTTTCATAAAGAGCAAGCATTGACGCGGGGTGAACGACATTGCTGCAAACAGCGTACGACAAGAACCTAACCTAAACCAATGCAATATGGAAAGGAGAAAATATACTAGATATTTGGCGTCATCAAAATGGCAACTTTTGAGAGCATCCTTCAGTTCGCGGAAAAGCAATTCAACGACCTAAAATATAAGCATGGAATGCCGACGAACTTGTGAGACAAAACTGTGATTTTTCAAGTTAATAAGTCCCAGGAGTGTAGTGTAAATCGCCGTGCGCTCCGGGATATTCTTGGCACTAACACGTAAGAAAAAACGGTCAATTACCATGAAGCAAAAATTCGAGCGTAGTGTTCGGGATTCTTCGTCAATTCATTGCACACAAGAAGACTAAGTTCGCTTATATCCCTTTGAATTTTTTCAGTATCCTAGCGGAATCAGCGGTTAAACGTGACCTACCTTGCTGCCTATCCGGTAAAGCAAAGATTCAACAGTATCCCTATCAGGGCGGCCTTTCTTTGATGAGAAAGTATCTGAAAGTAAAGCTTGCGAGTAGCAAAAGTACCATCATCATCAAAGAACGCCTCGTGATAACGCCGTCTGGACATTACAATGTTTTTAAAAATGACGTCTCTATCTATAATACTTTAAACAACTGGGAAATACGGTACTCTCGGAACTCGTGAGTTTCCTATAATGTCGTGTGAAATGATCGCAACTTACAGGATTTCAGACGTACTGTGGCACGTAACCTGGTGTTTTTGCTCAATGCATGATAGCATGTAAGTCAGTTTTTCCGGTATATTACTTGGAGGTATATGTACTGTTTGTCCTCTTCTTACCCTTTAAGTGCACATCTAAGAGGAGATGCAAACCCTTCCCCGGCCGAAGCATCTAGCTCAACCTTCTTCGAAGTCAAGAACAGTTGAGATTTACCCGTGCCAATCCTATCTATCCGTGTTTTGTCCTATTTGACTCCGTTCTTCGTAATACATTCATTCCTTCGTATCACTTTATTCATTCTGCAGTTCTGTGTCTCTGTATGATCTTTCCTTCGAGAGCTAATAAAGCCTAAGCTCATCAGGGAGAAAAAGAGTTTCAGGAATTTCTGGAGAAGCTAGAAACGGGCATCCAGAAGCTGAGTATTAC